CCCCTGCTCATGCTGTCTCTCTCTCTCTCTCCTAGAAATAAATTTAAAAAAAAACAACATTTAAAAAAAAAAAAAAAGAATTATATTGGCCTGATAATGTGGTGAGCTGTTTGTGGAATTGACCAATACCTCCTTAATTCTTTCCATTTATAGTTAGCATTTCTTTCCAAGCAAAGATGTTGTTAACTTTTTTTCCTGAATGTCTCATTGCAGTTTAATTCTCAAAAACATAATTCAAAAAATTTTGGACTTATCATAGAAAGTTTTTATAATTTTTTAAAGTCTTAAGTTCTTTAATCATCAGTAAGCTATTATTTATATTTTAGGGATTGGAATAAAATTTACTATTATGCTTCTTAAATTTAATGTCAAAGTAGACTTTGACTTGTGTTTCTGAGTCAGATCTTAGTGTGCCTAACATTTTCATTTTCAATTTCAGTTGAAATAACTTTCTACAGTGGGTGTTATGTCTTTTGCTCTTTTGGTTTCTTACTGTTATGAATGTGTGCAATATAACAGCCTTGCATAGGGCAACTTTCTTAAGCTTCCTTTACCATTGGCTTTTAAAAGTCCTGTTTAGGAAATGGGAAAGAATAAATCAGAATTATTTAGGATGTTTTTTCAAAGCACATACCACTAAGGAGTTCTGATAGTTTATTCTTTCCATCATCTCTCTTTGGAAATTCACAGTGAAAGTCAGTCACTATCACTGAAGGAACTTGAGATAGCCCTCAGCTGTGTTAATTTGTCTTAGCATCCAAAAAGAAACTAGCCTACAAAATATTTGTATTTTTACAAAAAAATGATCAAAATTATTTATGGAAAATGGTATTTTATAAAGCAAATAAATGCCTACAAATTTCAAATACGTATTGTATCTAGTAATAAAATCATTTATTGTTCACCTAAAGTGGTAAATTAGACAAATACTTATTTTGGAGAAGTCATTGGTTATTAAGAAAACAGTCCTGAAAATGGTGCCCTTTTCTTTAAGAAAATATTCAAACCTTAAATAGCAAGTACTAAAATACACACCAAAGGGAAATTCTTTTTTAAAAAAGTTATTTTCAGTCTTCATTCTTATTTCTTTTTATCTTGGATAACCTTCACAAAAATGTATCTTTTTTATAACCAGTGCCCAAAATGTTCCCAGGGTTCACTTGTCTGCTTTCTGGAGGCATCCAGTGTAGGTCCCTTCTTTTTTTCTCTCTTTACTCTTGAATTAATCCTCTACCTACTTCACAGGCCGATTCTTTGATGAGAATGAATCCCCTGTTGATCCGCAGCATGGCTCTAAACTGGCGGATTATAATGGGGATGATGGTAACGTAGGTGAGTACGAGGCAGACAAGCAGGCTGAGCTGGCTTACAATGAGGAAGAAGATGGTGATGGTGGAGAGGAAGACGTCCAAGGTGAGCGTGGGCCTGGCCTCCATGCTGTGACCGTGAAACCCACCTCTAAATTTTTTGGTTGAATTTGTGTAGAATTTTCCCTACTTATTAGTAGAATTACAATCTTAATACAAAGAGATTCTGTGTAGTTTTTCAATTTTATTTTGATAACAATTTTATGATAGTCATATTTGTAGATCTTATTCTAAGTATTTTCACTTTAGTTATCTTACATGTATTATTGATATAGTTGTAATTTGAAACTCAAAAATAATCAGAGATTTTAGATTTAAAATGTCTTAAATGTCTCTAGACTTTACGTATGGCAAATACTCCCAGAAAATAGTTATTTTCCAATTTCTTATCTGAAAACATTTTGTTATTCGAGGTACAGATACTGACTAGACAGCCTTTTTGTTATAAAGGAAGACCCAGAGGGAATGGTCTCCATGCTGAAGATATGTCACTACTGACTGAATATAGGAAGGCTGTTTTTGAACTTTTTCTGAGAGACTGAAAATTTATATTTAACAGTTTGCAAAGATTTATCTGTTTTATGTTTAATACACAGATTCAACATATTTTCCTTGTTAATTATGAAACTTCTGAGCTTTTAACTTACTAAAAGTTCAGAATCTACCTGTGTGCATGCAGCCCTACCCATGCATGCATATTAGAATATGTTGCACTATTATGAGTTTTTAGGCCTGTTTTCTGCCTGTTTATATCATTTAGTAGTATTTGTGGAATTTTTTCTCTTTTCTGTAAAAGTTGATTATGAACATAATGTGTGATGTATTTCGTTTTATAATATGATGCATGAAATATTTTCCAATGTAAACTGTCTCAATTTCTTAACTCTGTTAAAGTAGTCACATTTTATTTATGTTCATGATGAGTTGTTTTGATAAAACTCAAAAGAAAATACAGTTATTCTCGGATACTTCCACAGTTAGTAGAAAAAGGAAAACTTAGAGACTCTGACTTCCATGTGGGTTTGTTTCAATAGTACATTCTAGTTTTGGAAGAATGGTTGTTGGGAATAGAAAGAGATAATAATAATTCTAGGAGTTATATAAGGATATCTTTATGAGAACTTCTCAAACACTGTTGGGGCTATAAAGTAAATTATATCCACTTTTTCTATAATCTCATCCATTTTTCATAAATTTTACCATTTTTTCTCATTGTTTTGTGTTTGTTTGAATTGTATTTATTTGCAATTATTTATAACATTGTTGCAAGGTTTTCATGCATGTATATCATATCACCAATTAGATTACCAAGCTCTGGAGGGCAGGAATTTTCATTAATTGTGCCTTATATTTTGTTTGTGTCCTTTTCTGCCTTCATATTCACCCCACCCTCTACCCCACATAGTACTTAGCATATATAGGGCCCTGGGTCAATGTTGTTAACTGATAATTTTATGCTTTCTCATTGAGTTTTAGAACTGTGACTAGAATAATATTACACTTTAAACATTCTCTAGTTTGGGGCGCGTGGGTGGTTCAGTCAGTTAAGCATCCGACTTCGGCTCAGGTCATGATCTCGTGGTTCGTGGGTTCAAGCCCCGCATCAGGTTCTGTGCTGGCAGCTCAGAGCCTGGAGCGTGTTTCAGATTCTGTCTGCCTCTCTCTCTGCCCCTTCCCCACTCATGCTCTGTCTCTCTCTGTCTCAAAAATAAATAAACTATTAAAAAAATTAAAAATTCTCTAGTTTTTTTCCTAAGAGTTTCTATCATGTTATTGGATAGTTTTGACAATTTTATTGGAGCAAATAATTTCAACTATAACTGAAAGGTATTTCTTATGCTTTTGGCTATTTTAAAGTTAATGAGTTTTATCACAAAATTTCAGATATTTTGTATGACTTTTATCCATGATAGATAAATTTATCTTCCGTACCTCCTCTCTCCTTCTCTCTCTCTCTCTTTCACTCTTCTTTCTCTCCCACCCCCAGTTCTCATTGCCACTTTTCACTTTAGGTCCCTAGTATCCTTCTGCTACTCTGCCCTTCCTTTGACAAGGAAATAAATACATCATTTCTAAGGAATATAAGTAAATGACCTAAAATGGGGGCGCCTGGGTGGCTTAGTCGGTTAAGCGTCCGACTTTCACTTAGGTCATGATCTCGCGGTTCGTGGGTTCGAGCCCCGCGTCGGGCTCTGTGCTGACTGCCAGCTCAGAGCCTGGAGCCTGTTTCAGTCTGTGACTCCCTCTCTCTCTCTGACCCTCCCCTGCTCACGCTGTCTCTCTCTCTCTCCTAGAAATAAATAAAACATTTAAAAAAAAATTTTTTTTAAAAAATGACCTAAAATGATACCTTCAGTGAAGTAGGGAGGGGATTGTTAAATTGGGTTTCCTCATTTGCAACTCAATTTTACTTGAGCTGGGAGTTGCCACTTAACTTTTTTTTAATTCCATTTTGGGGTTCACTAGATGATAGCAGTAGAAGGACAGGATAGCTACCAAGGGGACTCCTGTATGACAAGGAACAAAGCTACAAGAACATCATCTGCATCTAGTGAAGAGAGAGAAGTTTGGGTGAACTGACTAAAAAAGAGTAATTGGAGAACCAAATAATTTAAAACATGTTTTCAGGGATTCTTTAGGAATGGTATTATCTGTCCAGAAAATGGAAACGGGTAGGGGTGCCTAGGTGGCTCAGTTGATTAAGCATCTGACTTCAGCTCAGGTCATGATCTCACAGTTCTTGGGTTCAAGTCCCGCGTCAGGCTATGTGCTGACAGCTAGCTCAGAGCCTGAAGCCTGCTTCAGATTCTGTGTCTCCCTCTGTCTCTGACCCTCCCCTGCTCGCTCGCTCTCTCTCTCTCTCTCAGAAATAAATAAAACATTAAAAAAATTTTTTAAAGAAAAAAAACAAAGTGGAAAGGGGGGAATTATGGTTGTTCCCTAGTTTATCAACCATTTGGATTCTAAATATTATTAAGTTAGAATATTTAGAATTTAAGAACATTTCTTCATAGTTTCAATGTAGAAATTAATGGTTGGGTTCCCAGGCCAGTTTGCACTTGTAGCCAAAGCAGACAGTAGAATAGAGTGGGGGAAAAAACATTAGGTTAGGAGACCAGCTGTTGAGTATTGCTTTTTAAGTCACTTAAACTCCCTGGGCCACAGTGTCTTCATCTGTAGTATGAGTGTTAAACTACAATAGATAGTCCTTCTCAGTTCTAAAATTCTGTGGTCATATGCACAGTGGAATCATTATGTACAACACAGGTATTATGGGAAAATGTGTTTCAGATCTGAGCATGCCTGAAACACATCTTCCCCCAAAACCAGGAAAGAAAATGGAGTCTTTACTGTCATTAAGACTCTACAGCCAGAGATAACAAAAATTGAAATATGCTGGTAACATTGGTTGCTATACTTATGGTGAACATAGCACAGTGTATAGATTTGTGGAATCACTATGTTGTGTACCTGAAAGTAATATGACATTGTGTCAACTTCAATTAAAATTGAAACATGTACTTCAGAAATACTATTAGAGGCTCTTCTCTGCTCTTCCTAATATTAGGAAGAGGTTTGTTTTCATTTTTGTTTTTGTTTTCTTCCTCAATCTGTTGGGTTCCTAGGATTAGAGATTCCACTTGCAGTGCTGAGGTTCTGGATTCAGCTAAGGACAATGGAGATTTGGGCAGCAACTCTGCCAATAGATAAATCCCAGCTTTATCTCTGCTGCCTGCTCATATATATGGATTATTTGGGACAGTACTACCTGTGGAGTGTTTTCTTGTAGAGTTAAGTGAAGCCTGTTTTCCCTGTGTTTACAATCCTGGGGTTTTTTAAAAAATGTTTTATTTATTTTCAAGGGAGAGAGATCGTGAGTGGGAAAAGGGCAGAGAGAGAGAGAGAGAGAGAGAGAGGGAGGGAGACACAGAATCAGGAGGTGGCTCCAGGCTGTGAGCTGTCAGCACAGAACCTGATACGGGGCTTAAACCCACGAACTGTGAGATCATGACCTGAGCTGAAGTTGGACACTGAACCAACTAAGCCACCCAGGTGCCCTAGTTCTGGTTTATTTTGACTTTTAATTCGTGGTTTCCTGAAGCATACAAAAAGAAATACTATTTTATTTACATTGGTGTTAAAAATTTTTCTTCCTGCCTTCTTGTAAGTGACCCAATGAAAAGACTAACTCTGGAAACACTATCCATCTGATAGATATGTCTTATAATTAATTCTTTATTATAATAAGGAGATGGATGTTTATAAATTCTCTTTACTCTTATCTTTAATCCCATAGAAGTTCCAAGTTTCTTTAATACAGTATGACCTGCATATTTATTTATGGTTGTATTTATGTATTTATGGAAGAAAGCTTAGCATAATGCTTGAGTGCCTGGATTCTGAAGCCAGACTGCCTAGAATCCTAGCTCCCCTTTGTTTGAATACTAGCTCCACCACTTACCAGTTCTGTGACCTTGTGAATTACCTAACCTCTATGCCTCAATATCCTTATCTGTAAAATAGGGGTATAGTTACCTAACTTAGCTGTTGTTACATAGCTTATATGATTCAAATATTTGTTCAGCACTTATGGCAGGTCTTCCACACTGGAAGCACTACATAAGTGTTGGTTGAATAATAATTTTTTAGAAGTAAAGCAAATAGAATTTTTATCTTTGGATTGCCTGCTTTGGAAGATAATACACTTGGGTTTGTGGATTAATGTGTACTTTTTAGTGGAGCCTTACTGCCTTATTATCCCTACAGTGTTCTTGCTTGGTAGAGCTTGCTATATGGAGGTGGTCCTTTCTTGACTTCAAAGAGAATTTAGGAATCATTTAATAAATTGTTAATGTCTTTCTATTTCCTTAATAGTCATTTTATGTTAATGAGCCATTTACAAACTTTGCTGCTTGGTAAAATGAAAAAAATACATATTTCAAATTTTTTTTAAATAGTTTATTATCACATTGGTTTCCATGTAACACCCAGTGCTCATCCCCACAAGTGCCTTCCTCCATGCCCATCATCCCCCTCCCCTCCCCATCTGCCCTCAGTTTGTTCTCGGCATTGAAGAGTCTCTCATGGTTTGCCTCTCTCCCTCTCCGCCACTATTTTTCCCCTTCTTCTCCCCCATGGTCCTCTGTTAAGTTCCTCCTAATCCTCCTATACATGCAAACATATGGTATCTGTCCTTCTCTGCCTGGCTTGTTTCACTCAACATCCACATTGTTCCTCAAGTTCCATTCACATTGCTACACATGGCCAGATGTCATTCTTTCCCATTGCCATGTAGAATTCTATTGTATAGATAAACCACATCTTCTTGATCCATTCATCCGTTGATGGACACTTAGGCTCTTTCCATGTTTTGGCTATTGTTGAGAGTGCTATGAACATGGGGGTACATGTGCCCCTATGCATCAGCACTCCTGTATCCCTTGAGTAAATTCCCAACAGTGCTATTGCTGGGTCATAGGGGAGTTCTATTGTTAATATTCTGAGGAATCTCCACACTGTTTTCCAGAGGGGCTGCACCAATTTATATTCCCATCACCAGTGTAGGAGGGTGCCCATTTCTCTACAACCTCGCCAGCATCTAGAGTCCTCTGATTTGCTCATTTTAGCCACTCTGACTGGTGTGAGGTGGTATCTCAGTGTGGTTTTGATTTGTATTTCCCTGATGAGGAGGGATGCTGAGCATCGTTTCATGTGTCTGTTGGCCATCTGGATGTTCATGGTTGTTTTTCTATATTTGGTTAGGTAGTTTCATCATACTTTATAAATACTGTACATGCAAATAGGTTGTCACTGGAAATTTGAATTCTGGTTAGAATAGATATACTGAAAATGGACTCTAGTTAATGTAAATAATAGTTCAATGTAAGAAAAATGCAATATTCCAAAATTCCTGTGAAATTCTAAAAATAATTCTTTTTATTAAATTTTTTTTGTTTTATTTATTTTTGGGACAGAGAGAGACAGAGCATGAGTCGTGGAGGGGCAGAGAGAGAGGGAGACACAGAATCTGAAACAAGCTCCAGGCTCTGAGCTGTCAGCCCAGAAACCGATGTGGGGCTCAAACCCACAAACCATGTGATTGTGACCTGAGCCAAAGTCGGATGCTTAACCGACCGAGCCACCCAGGCGCCCCTCTGAAAAATAATTCTAAAGGCACATTATTAAAATTTGATTAAAAGTATAAATTCATAAAACCAACAAACTCCTCCTTATATTTATAGAAGACTTTGAAAGTAAAGACTCCTTCATATACATTATTATTATTATTTTGAGATAGAATAAACATTTGCTACCCATATCCTACTAAGAAGGTAACTAAAGATCTAAAGAAGTTTAGAAACTAGATCAGGTTTGTTAAGTGCCTGAGCCAGAACTAGAATTTATTTGGTTTTTCTATTCCTAGAGCTTTGCTCTTACTTTCTCTTTATAATTTTTCATTTAAAAATCTTCCAAGATACCTACTCTTTCCTTTCAATAACTTTCCTGTTAAATTTCTAGGAATTCTCTCTTGTATAGCTGCTTTTCCCATTGCTCAATGGTGTTTAAGTCTTCGTGTAATTACTGAAGTCCTTAAAGATGTATTTATAGCCATTAGGTGATGTCCCATAATGTGGATTCTAAGGAGAGCTTTCTGGAGAGGTGCCAGTGATTATTTTCCTTTTTAAAACCAAAGATAATTTTCTAAAGTACAAAGAGTTCTATGGTAAGAGATTAGCATTTTTTCAAAATACCAATGTCATTATGTATGTACAACTTCAGCCTCTACCTGTAACAGATTTGATTCTCTTATCATAGGTAATAGGTTACACTATTAAAGAAAGATTTGAGATAATTTTGTTAGGCTATGATGCAAAATGGTTGCCTGCAATTCTAAATGAGAATTTCTGTAAGTTTAATAGGAATTTCTGTAAATTTGAAAGGAAAGAGAAAGTTGTGTTATTTGGCATTTTTAAAATGGATAAATGTAAAGAAGAAATAAGAATACATCATTATGTAAAGTAAATACACACTGCATATTTCACATAGCATTTTTCTTGAACAAAATTTTACCATAGGATATACTAGAGAATCTAAGAGTGGAAAACCTATCAAATCTAAAAGAACAGATTTCAGAAAGCTGTAGTTACATGTAAATTGGGATTCTGACTCTTGAAATATATAAAATTATATATGACTCATACAACTCTTTATATAAAATTATATTTCTGGACAATTATGATAGTAACACTCAATGTATCAAAAACTAAGCTGTTGGGTAATTGTAACTGAACTATAAAGTATGAAAAGTCATTTTTGGGGGCACCTGGGTGGCTCAGTCAGTTGGGCCTCCGACTTTGGCTCAGGTCATGATCTCATGGTTTGTGGGTTCGAGCCCCGTGTCAGGCTCTGTGCCGACAGCTAGCTCAGAGTCTGGAGCCTGTTTCAGATTCTGTGTTTCCCTCTCTCTCTGACCCTCCCCTGCTCACACTGTCTCTCTCTCTCAGAAATAACTAAAAAATATTAATAAAAAAAAGAAAAGTAATTTTTCAAGGCTGTGGAAGAATAAAAGAAGAAAAATAAAGAAGAAAACCAAGAACATAAAAAAAGAAAAAAGAAACAAGGCTGTGGAGGAACCAAAAGATGTCACTAAAAGCCATATACTAAAAAGAATATCTCTTTGTTTTGTGATTAAATTACTTTTTATTCTTGTTCTAACATAATTTTAATACTCTGAGCAGTCTTATTTCAAAATCTGTAGTTTGTAGCAAAATTAGAAAAAGATTGCTATTGGCAGATAAACAAACAGTAATGAGAAGTGGCAGATGATAGCCAAGAAGGACCCAGGAAAACCTGTCAATATCCACATAAGTCAAACTCTAAAGAGTTGTTTAATGTAGCTACTCAAAGTGGGCTAGAGGATCTTACTAACAATATTATGTAATTTATTTTTCTTTTTGGCAAGGAAAAAGTTAAATTTTGGTTAGTTTATCATTTAAGAAGTTGCTGCTAAGCTCTTGGCAGAGGAGCAAAGAAATTCACTATAATGTTAAATATTGAATTATGAATAGCTTTTATTTTCCTATGTTTTATTTTCCAATTTTTATGTGATGAGTATGGATTAATTTTGTAATTAGAAAGAAATTTTTGTTTTAAAGAACTGAAAACGTATACAGAATGGTTTCTACCAAAACTTTTATTTTTAAATTTTATTTATCTATTTATTTTTATTGAGAGAGAGAGAGAGATTGCAGAAGCAAGGAAGGGGCAGGGGGCAGGGAGGGAGAGAATCCCAAGCAGGTTCCACTCTGAGCACAGAGCCCGATGGGAGTGGGGCTGGGGGCTCAATTCCACAACCATGAGATCGTGATCTGAGCTGAAATCAAGAGTTGCAGAACTAACTGAGCCACCTCGGCACCCTGAAAACTACTACTACATCTAGTAGAAATAATATATTTTATACAGAAGGACCAACTCCTCAATGTTTGTGGGTTCCTAAAGTTTTGCTAACTATGTCTAGCTCTACTATCACCAAAATATTTGTTAAGTAATCTTCCAATATATTGGAAGACTAGAAGACAGACTTTTTGCTGTTTAGCCAAGCAACTAAGAAAAAAAAAAAACCACGCTATTTTAAAAGATATAAAATAACAGAATACTACTGAGGCTTTATTTTATTGGTTTTCTACAAGTGATTTTAAAAATAATATTTTTGAATCATAATTATTTTCCTTACAGATGACGAAGAACGAGAACTTCAAATGGATCCTGCAGACTATGGAAAACGTTTCAATGATGTTCTTTAAGCCCTAAAGTAAAACTTCAGAAAACCTAAAGTGCTGTAAAATGGAATAATTTCTACTTTGTCGTTCCTGACTTTTGTTGTAAAGATCAGTTGTATCAGTTGTAAAGATACATTGAGATAGATTTAAGAAAAAATTTTAATGAAGAAATGTACCCATGTACATATGTGAACTTTTTCATATTGTATTATTAAAGCAGAGATTTTGGGGGGAGGGGTTATATTACAGTTGAGCCAAAAACAAAGTAAGCAAAACTGTAATCTTTGCATTTAAAATGAACTAATGTATATTTTACATTTTATTGAGCCTAATTCTTTCCACAAATGGACAAATAGTAAAAATTGGTTGTACAGTTTATATGTTGCACATAGCATAACTCCAGTGAGAACAGTTATTCAGCTGAAAACCTTTTTTACACTAATATATTCTTGTTAGCCCAACAGGTGTTCTGTTCCATCTACCCCTCATCTCATGCTCTTCATGGAGTTATACCTAGAATAGTTACACAAAAGAGGGGTTGGAACCTGGAAGTCAAACGCTGGGCAGCATGTGTGCAAAATCATTTCCCTACTTCTTTTATTTTAAACGAGTGCTGGTGTGTTTTTGGCAGATTAACTTTTAGCTGAGGCCTGATGGAAGTTGAGGTAACCTGCAAAGACATAACTATTTATGAGTTATGCCTTACTTAGTTCATGAAATTGTGAAATGCATGATTGACAATATCCTTCAATTTTTATTTTTTCACATAATACTGGTACTGTTTAATGATAACCATCACTGGCTAAAATTTTTATATTTTCAGAGTCCAAGTTGGTGAAAATATTCACGATTTAAATGCCAGATTCTGAAAGAAGCTAAATCAACTTCGAAATGAATCTGCAGTCAGCATTTCAAAGCTTCTCTGGTAGTTTTAGTGATCTTATTTGACTAGAATTTTTCAGAAGTACTAAATAAGGAGTTTTAACAGATTTTTATTAATGCACAAATAAGTAGAAGTACAGTGAGGTCTACAGCTGTTTTATTAAAATAGCCTAAAAGTTTGTAATAAAGATGAAGAATCTTTGTAATTAATATGTTAAGAACCCATAAGCCTAATATTTACTAGACTTACAAAATTATTTTAAATTTATTTGTCTTTTTTTACACTATTCCGGAGAATGCAGCAGCTAGTTAATCCCTGTTTTCAGATTTAAATCTTTTAAATTCTATCCCCCTCCCCAAAATAAAAGGTTTTGATCACAAGGAGACATTAAAGGTTGTTAACTTTGTTTTTCAGAAGGACTACTGTTAATTGTACATAAACATGAAATTTTTCCCCCTTTGTGCTCAGGTTCTAGTCAAAATTCAAACTTACAGAGTTTAAAAAAAAAAGCTTTTCATTTATTAGAAGTGAAAAATTCTTAGACTTCAGTTTAAAATTACTTAATGACCAGGAAAAGATATAGTGATTTACTAAAATTGTTATTTCTACCAAATCAAAATAGCAATTTATGCCTTTGCTGAGTATAGTCAGGCCTATAATGAATAGGTAAAATAGTTCACTGAATTTTTAAAAATGGAGTTAAAGGGAATTGATGTACACCTTTTGGGCATTAGAGTGGGAAGATGAATCTAAAACGGACTTCTAGTAATACTTTATATTTAATACTGTAAGATCTTACAAATGAAAACCATGAAATTTCCTGCCTTAGTTCCTTTGTCATAAGAACAATCACTTAATTATATGGTAGCTATTACTTATATAGCAAAATTTCTTTAATTAGCGGTCTAGACATTTTATAAACTGAGAAATCTTGGACCAATTAATAATGTTTCTGACTGTATTAACATTTTAGTGCTATAAAATACTATGTGAATCTTAAAACTCTGACATTCTACAGTCTGTATTAGACCTGCTGGTTTTTATAATATTTTACTTCTGCCTTAAGATTTAGGTTTTTTAAATGTATTTTTGCCCGGAATTAAGTGTTAATTTGATGGAAACTCTGCTTCTAAAATCATCACTTACTGGGTTCTAATAAATTAAAATTAAACTTGTTTTACTATTTTCCTGATTCTGATACATATACACACATCACACTCATGTGATGCAAATAGTTACATTTTAACACTAAAATTTGAGCAAATTTAGAATTCATTTTAGGCTAGCTAAACTAGAATTGCAGAAAAATTTATATTAGGGTTGTTTACTGTAGTGCTAGTTTAACAAATACAGAATGCTTCCCATGTGCCCAGCATTGTCTTATGTAATAAGAATACTGGAGTGGATAAGATAGACCAAGTTTCTTTTCTCATGAAGCTTACATTGAAGTTGGACCAGTCATACAATATACAAGTAAACACATGAACCAGCTAATTTTAAATAGTGATAAGAACTATTAAAAATAAAATAAAGTTCCAAGGTTTCAAGGTCTCTAAGTTTCCAAATAATAAGGTTTTCACTTAACTGAAACATTATAATTATGAGGCTAGAATATTGTGAGAGAAATGAGGCTGAAGAGGTACGGAAAGGTAGGGTAGGGAGAAACTTTTAAGTTCAGGTCACTTGCTACTGATCCATGAAGAGAACATATAAAATACAGAATATACATGGAGGGATGATTCCAGGGAAAATGTGAATACAACTTCAAAATTATTTCTAAAATATGTCCCTTTATTTTAACAAATCTTAAGATTGTGTTCCTTTTTGACTTGTCCTGTATACATCTGTAAAAATAAAATTTACCGAATATGAGGACAGAATTTATAAAATAAAACAAAATAGTTATAAGGAGGATAGTCACTTCCCATAATGGCTAGCCTTGGAAACTTCTGTTCCCTCACATGTCTGACCCCATGGCCTCAATAAGACAATCAAACTGTGTGACATTATTCAATACATTACCAAAGTCTAGATTATTGAGTCTTCACATCAACATTCGGCTCTAATTGGGCTATATCTAAGTCCTTTTAAGACTTTTCTCACTAAGGATTCCAAATGAAAACTCAAACAACTATCCCAGAAGAAAGGGGGAAATTTAATGGTCCACGTAAGTAAATTGCAAAAAGGGCAGAAGTCAGCTGGACTTGAAGACAACTGACACAAGGACTTAAAGACTGCCAACTTTGTTTCACCGACTCCCATTTCTGCGTCTCTCTACTTGCTACCTTCTTTTACTTAGACTATCTCTCCCCTTAAAACTCTAACCAAGATTTCCAGCAGGTCACATTTTCTTAGTTTTGCCACCTGAGAACAGCTGCTCTTCTTTCCTTATTTCCACTCCAAAAAATCTGAGGGAAGGGAGACTTTTGTTTCTATGACTGAGTAATTTGACTAGCCCTTCTGAATTAGTAGCAACTATAAAACCGAACAAGATATAATAAGTGACTGTTTTCAGAAGGCAGCACAAAACTGAAGCTTCTGGAATAAGAGAAACTTAAGCAGTGAGCCCCACAATCATCCAGCTTCCTATGGGTGTAAAGAGGCTGAACTGAGATGACAGAGATCATAATAGGGAGCAGCTGAAGCAGTTGGAAATCAATTGGGTGGAAATCAATTGGGTGGACATCTGTATCTATACAGAGAGGAAGACCCAGAAATCCTTAGAGGGGTGCCCACAAGTTCATGGCTAAGGGCTGGGCTATACATAATAAGAGCAAGACCACCTGATGTTTACCAGATAGCAGTTGCTACAGAGTTAAGAATGGAATGTAGATACCTTAGGTCAAGAAGTATTGGCATAAAAGCAGTGCTAAAGGACACTAGGCTTCTGGGCCTGTCAAGCTGGAGTTCTCGAACAATTGTGGCATCCAGATAAACCATTAGAAAGATTGCCCCTTGTGACTAAAGACCATGCCTTAGAGTAAGACCTACATTAGGCCTGCCTTAACAAGCTCTGACAAGATTGTAAGGGGAGATAAAGTATGGAGATCGAGCCCTGTCAAGTTAGAACTTAATGAAACTCCTTCTTCAGCTTCTCACAGATATGAACTAACAAAGCATAAAACCAAGCCTATACTTGTTTAAAGTGACCACTCAGTAACTGAAGAATCTGCTAAAATAAGAATCATCACTTTTCAGAAGATAACAGAATCAAGAATCTCTACAACATATACACAATGTCCAGTATTCAGTAAAAAATTATTAGATATACAAAGACTTGAAATTTGATCTGTAGTTAAAACAATTAGATGGGTTGTGTTGTTATATTGTTATTTGTTAACGGAAGTATTAAAAGTATGTTTATTGCACTGTATGTTAACTAACTTGAATTTAAATTATAAAAAATTAAAAAGCCCTAGGAAAAAAAAGTATGTTTAAAGATGAAATGAAAATGTTTTAAGTGAGTGAACAGATAGAGGATCTCAGCACAGAAATGAAAATTATAGAAAACCTAATGGAAATTCTAGAGCTATGAAGTATAATAACTGAAATGAAAAATTCATTGGATGGGTTTAATTGCAAATGGCAGTAGAATGAATTTGAAGACATAAAAATGTAGTTGTATTATAAGTATTTGAAAATAGAAGGTTGAAGGGCACCTGAGTGGCTCAGTCAGTTAAGCGTCCGACTTCAGCTCATGTCATGATCTCACAGTTCATGGGTTTGAGCCCCACGTCAGGCTCTGTGCTGACAGCTAGCTCAGAGCCTGGAGCCTGCTTCAGATTCTGTATCTCCCTCTCTCTCTGACCCTCCCCTGCTCCCTCTCTCTCTCTCTCACTCTCTCTCTCTCTCTCTCACACACACACACACACACAAATAAAAACATTAAAAAATTTTAAAAGAAAAAAAAGGAAAATAGAAGGTTGAAATGTTGAGAGACCAAGAATGTGGATTTGGCATTCAATATTTATTGATTGACAGATGCTGTCCACCCACCCCCTAACACAAGCCTAAAGGTTCCATCATGAAAGAACAATGATCATTCTTTAAATTACTTATTGAGTACCTTATCTGTATAGAGAACTGTTTTGAGTATTACAATGTCTCTGCCTTCGTGGAACTTACATACTAGAGGGAAAGATCATTATTTTCTATCTCATAGTAATAAATACTTTAAGAAAAATAAATCAGAATAAGAGAATAGTGATGGAGGAGTGCTATTTAAAATAGGATGATCAGGGAGGGCCTTTCTGAAGAGGTGGTATGAGAACAAGCCATGTGAATATATTGTGCAACATTATCCGATAGGAATATAATGCAGGCTACCTATGAATTGTGAATTTTCTAGTAACCACATTAAAAAAAAACTGGTAATTGGGGCAGCTGGGTGGCTTGGTCAGTTAAGCCTCTGACTTTGGCTCAGGTCATGATTTTGTGGTTTGTGAGTTTGAGCCCTGTGTTGGGCTCTGTGCTGACAGCTCAGAGCCTGGAGCCTCCTTTGGATTCTGTGTCTCCCTCTCTCTCTGCCCTTCCCTGGCTCATACTCGGTCTTTCTCTGTCTCTCAAAAGGTAAATAAACATTAAAAAAGATTTTTTTTTAACTAGTGAAATTTTGATATTTAACCAATATATCCAAAATATTACCATTTTAATATGTAATCAATATAGAACACTACAAATGGGACAGAGATATTTTATATTTTCTTTTGTACTAAATCTGAAATCTAGTGTATATTTTACATTTACAGCACATCTCAATATGTTCATTGAATTGTCATTGGAAATATTTGACTGGTATTTGGCATTCATAAAATTTATATCTGAGTTAGTACATTCACATACTCATGTTCCAAGTATACTTAAAAGTTTTACAATAGCTGAACCAAGTATTAATTTTTTTTCAATTGACTTTACTTTTTAGGGCAGTTTCAGGTTCATAGCTAAATTAAGTAGGAAGTAGAGAGGGGCGCCTGGGTGGCTCAGTCGGTTAAGCGTCCGACTTTCGCTTAGGTCATGATCTCGCGGTTCGTGGGTTCGAGCCCCGCGTCGGGCTCTGTGCTGACTGCCAGCTCAGAGCCAGGAGCCTGTTTCACTCTGTGACTCCCTCTCTCTCTGACCCTCCCCTGCTCACGCTGTCTCTCTCTCTCCTAGAAATAAATAAAAAATTTAAAAAAAAAAAAAAAAAGGAAGTAGAGAATCCCCACATATCACATTCCTACACACACACACACACACACACACCCCTTCTGCATCATCAACATCCTGCACCAGTGTAGAATTATTTGTTAAAATTGATAAACCAACACTGTATATATATCATTAGCAACCAAAGTCAGTTTACATTAAGATTCACATTTTGTATTGTACATTCTATGGGTTTGGACAAATGTATAATGAATGTATCTACTACTATAGTATGCAGAATAGTTACACTGCCCTAAAAATCCCATATTTTCCGCTTATTCCTTTTTCTTTACCCCTAGGCCCCTGGAAGCCACTGACCTTCTCACTGTCATCATAGTTTTATCTTTTGCAGAATGTCATAGGATTGTAATGATACAGTATATAGCCTTTTCAGATTAGCTTCTTTCACTTAGTAATATGCATTTAATATCCCTCCTTGCCTTTACATGACTTGATAGCTCATTTCTTTTTAGCTGATTAATATTCCATTGTATGGCTATGTCACAGTTTATACATTCACCTATTGAAGGAGATCTTGATTGCTCCAACTTTTGGCAATTATGAATAAAGTTGCTAGAGACATTCATGTGTAGATTTTTGTGTTGACACAGCTCAACTTCTTTGGGGAAATACCAAGGATCAATTTTTTTATTGTAGTAAAACGACCATTGTTCATTTACATGTAAAGTGTATAATTCAGTGCCATTAAGCACATTCACAATGTTGTGCAACCATTACCCCTAACTAGTTCTAGAACTGTTTCATCACTCCAAATGGAAGCTCTGTTAAGCAATCACTCAGGTATTAATTTTAAATTTTAAGTTAATTAAAATGAAATAAAATAAAATATTAATTTCCTCAGTTACACTGCCACATTTCAAGTGCTCAGTAGCCACACATGGCTTGTGGCTAGTAGCTATTGACTAGCACAGGTCTAAGGGAAAAGAAGTAGAGGCAGAGAAATAACAAAAACAAAGTCCTTGATACAGGAATATACTTTTTCAGAGAATGGTTAATTAGCCAGTATGATGGGAATACAAATAGCAAGAGGTAGGGAATGTACTCAGGGAGATAGCCAAAAGTGAGCTAATGAAGGGCCATGCATGTTATAGTGAGGATTTTAGGTTTCATTTTAAGGGTGATGGAAAATTTATAAAGAGGTTTAAAATGATCACTTTGGCTGTGTTTTGGAAAGATTGAAGGAGGTTCAAGAATGGAGCAGGAAGACTTATAGTATTCCAGGTCAGAGATGATGGTCCTTGAACTAGGGAGATAGCTGAGGTGGTGTTTGGATTCAAGATATGTTTTCAAGGTTTAATTCATTGCAGTTACAATGGATTGGGTTGAAATATAAGAGAACTGTAATTTATACAGTGGAGAATAATAAGAAAAAAACAGGTTTGAGAGTTTCGTTTTGACCATGTTAAATTTCATATGATCATTGCTATCAGGTGATTGCAATATTAGAGCACAATGGCAGTTCTGATACTATTTCAATGTTTATTATGAATATTGCCTTCTTAGTTGTAGTACAAGAGTGATAAAAATATGTCTCATAGGGGCGCCTGGGTAGCTCAGTTGGTTAAGTGTGTGACTCTTGATCTCAGGGTCATGAGTTCAAGTCCCACATTGCGATCCATGCTGGGCATGAAGCCTATTTAAAAATATCTCATAGAGGGGTGCCTGGATGGCTCAGTCAGTTAAGCATCCAACTTCAGCTCAGGTCATGATCTCACAGTTCGAGGGTTCAAGCCCCGCATCAGGATCCATGCTAACAACACAGAGCCTAGAGCCTACTCTAAATTCTGTGTCTCCATCTCTCTGCCCTTCCCCTACTCACACTCTGTCTCTCTCTCTCAAAAATAAACATTTAAAAACTTAAAAATATCTCATAGAGATAGAATTAATGTTAAGACTGGATTGTAAAGTGCATATGTCTTATATATCAGATAAAAGGTAAATATATTCCACACACCGTGGAATAAGGGACTTGCTGAAGGATTCTGTTGAATATCGAAGATACTTCTATCACATTACTTAGTGAACATCCTATTTCATTAATATTTTCAGATAGCAATAATTTTGTATAGTTTAGAAAGCATGCATGCCACTAAGTTTTTGTATTAAATTTTTTTTCCTCTAGCTACTGCTTTGCATCTAAATAATACTTGACTTCTTTTAAGTTTGTATTTTTAAACCCTTATTGTATTCTAAAATCTTGGACAAGGTTTTTACTGAAGCTTAATGACATTAAGAACTATCATTTAAGGAGCAGGAAAAACACCTAAATGTTTTCCATAAATAATTTCATTTGACTTTCATAACAATCCACTTAGATACTGCAGAAGAGAGTATAGTAGAAACTATTAGACGTAAATGATGAAGGTGAAAATCAGAACATAATTATCTGCTGAAAAGTATTAAAATGTTAAATAAACTGCAAAAGCATTTAGGCTTGCTACCAGCAAACTTTCTAAACTTAACATCTAACAATAATTGCCACAGGAGACAGTAGGATGTGGTATAATGAACAGAAGGAAGGCTTGCTTGAGTCTTGATTGCATTTCTTACTAGTAGATTAATTATCTTTGGATAAGGCAACTGTTTTTCCTTTTTTTCTCCCTTCCTCCCACCTTAAGAAAACTTCACCGTCTTCAGCTGAAGAGTTGGGGAGAGGGAACTAATATCACCTACTCTACTTATTTCACAAGGTTGTTGGGACAATCAAAATGCATATAAAAACACTTTGTAAATGGCATATTTAAGTTTTAGAAGAGCGAACATTGGTAGTTACTACTTCTTGGAATGTTATTTTTTCGGAAATATTCCCAATTTTTACCTGATGTAAAAATTATGTTGGTAATCAGTTGGGGGTAATTGTTTAATCTGTATGGCTTTCCCTGATATACACTGGATAATCAGTAACTATCTGTTGATTTCCAATTAGTTGTTCAGGAATCTATTATTTTGTGCACTAATACCAGTTCTGCACTAATACATCACTGGCTGTCAGTAAATGTCGAATTGAGAGCATTCTTGTATTAGGAAGATATCGGGTGCAAATGAATTCTGAGCTCTGACAGGATCTGCAGTATATAAGGCTTTCAGGAGACAACCCATCTGCTCCACACTTTGAAACAACCAGATTCACAAGGTTCCCTGCTTACCCCGCAGCCTTCTCTCTCTCCACTTTCTTCCCTTCAACTCCTCTATCCCCAGCGCACAGAACTACTACCCTAACTACTCAACGCAATCTAATTTTTGGATTTTTCCATCTGTTTCCTTTACCTAGGCACTCTTCCTTTGTAACATCAACTCTTTATGTCATCTCATGAAAGCCTGCCCACACCTCCTTGTTGCACGCCTGTCAGGAACTCCTTCTTGTGGTCATTTTAGCACATTGTATTCAAATTGTTTACTTGTCTGTCTTCAATAGATCGTGAACTCTGGGAAGGCAGGGTTCGTGTCTACCTTGAATCTCTCGCATCTAGTATGGTCTTCACACACTGTTTTTTTTCAAAAAAAAAAAAAATTTCAATATTTCTTGATTGAATATGGTGAGTGGCCCAGAGTTTTAGTAAGCAGATAATGCTCTTCCAACCATTCGGCTTGGTTTTCTGATAGTCCACTAGGGCTAGATGTTCTGATTGATACACTTTCACTCCATTAGGCTGACAGTCCTTAGACCCAGGCAAGCAGGTAGGAACTCATTTGTCTAAATGATCTGACTTCTCCGCAGAACCACAGCCGACTTCGAGTGGAGTCGAAAGGCGTGGGTTTGTGTGACAGATTCACAAGCAACTGCTATGCTCTCTAGGCAGAGAGCTGGAAAGAGAACCTTCAAGGGCCACTGGGATCCCTGGAAAGATGAAGGACTTGTCTCATTACTGCCTGGGGCAGCGCTCTCCACACACTACCTCCTCCAGCGCGCCAAGGCGTTAGTCCCACCCCATCCCACTTGGCTCCACCCACAAGGCGCGCCCGGGTTACTAACCCTAGCCGCCAGGGTGAGCGACGCGTTCCTAAGCCCCGCCTCCAGAGTGAGGGCGCGCTCCCCCTCCCAGCTCTGCCTAAGCAGTTCCGTTAGCAGCCGGAGGAAAAACCGTCCTTCGGGTCCCCGCCTCTTCACTTCCAACGCTTTACTCCCTACTCCCCCAGCAATCACTACACAGCCAGCTACGGAGGCCCTTAAAGTACAAATATCCCCCAAGCCCTGGCGTATCCTTATAGGTTTTTGTCCTTGTTTCTCCATTCGGTCCTAAGAGCCTGCGTTCAATTTGTGTCAGGAATCCGGCTTGTGAGTTTCTTCTGGCGGCAGGAACTCCAACGCTCTTTACGGAAGTAAAAGCTGGATTTTTTTTTTTTTTTTTTTTTGGACTCTGAGGCCGCCCGCATTCCTTCCCTCCCACCTCGCGGAATTGTGGCGGGAGGGGGAGGAGGAAGTCAAGGCGCCTGCGCGTAGAGGCCGCTTTCCATCCGGGTCTCTGTCCGTGCGGTGCAGCAGGTCGGTAGGCGGGAAATGGCGACTGGCTGAAGGAGCTGGTTCTGTTGCTGCTGCGGGCTTAGCGGGAAAGACACCACACATTGCGCAGTCGGGACCATCGCCGGAGCCTGAGGACACTTCTCTGTCGTCACAGTTAGGTAATCCCCCTCGTCCAGACACTGCCGCTGCTTCCAACCTTAGTCCTCCTCCTCTTCCAGGGCCGTCTGCCGGGGTCTCCTCCCCTTCTCAACCGGGTTCTCCAGCGGCTCCGGCGCCTTGGTAGGCATGCACTATTGGCGCCTTATAAGTGCGCCGTGTGGAGCCGCTCTTCTCCGGACTTTCCCCTGGGAACAGAAAGGGAGCTCACTTCCCGCCAGCTTCAGCTTCTAGGCTGCGGCCTGTGTTGTGATTTGTGGGGTTAGATTTCACTTTGCTACCCACCCCCACCCCGATCTCACGTTCCTCGTCCCAAACCCTGTGGTCCCTCCGGGTAATTGGGTTTGATCAGCTTTTCTAACCTTGGCCCATCTGAGTTCGGTATTTCGTTCTTTGTAGTAGGGTGCTTTTAGGGGGGCGTTGCTCTATCTCAGTTTTTATAAACATTTTTTGAGGTTCTGGAATTAGAGATTTCACCAAGTTCTGTTTATCTTCTGTACTGTTAAAATGTTGAGTTGACATTGTTACTTTTTCGAATCAAGCGTGATAGTAAAGGACAGTCCATGTGGAAGGCCTGTGGTTTCTGTAGTGGTCAATTAAGGGTGAATCTTATCGGCCGTAGTATTCTGCGCTTTCTTTGGGTATTGAATGACTGTATGAATGTTTACTTTTGCATTCTTGACTAGAATTCTGTGGTAAATAATTGCATAAGTAAATCGTGTTTATTTACTTCTCACCCTAGTGGTGGCTGGATGTGTGAATGATGTTAAGCACTTTAGAGTACCTTAGGGAAGCCTAAAGAGATACTGCTCGTAAACTGCCCTAAGATCCTGAAATGAAATGTACTTAGTAAATGTTCCTCCAAGGCAAGGATTTATCTGTCTAGTGCTAATAAAGCGGCAACATGATTACTGGCCAGGATGGGTATACAAATTAGTAAATTAAATGATAGCTTTATCTTAGTAATTTTCAGATTGTAGATTTTTTTTTACATAGACCCCCCCATTCTTTGCTAAGTTAAAAATTTTTGTTGTTGTCCAGCTGTTATCTTTGTAAAAGCAAGGAAACGGCTAGTTAAAGCTAGTTTTATCTCCCGCACCTCCTTTTTTTTTTTTTTTTTTTGCGCTTTGCAGATCAGTTTTCCATTAAGAGAAGTAATAAGGAGGCTGTTGGTGTTTTTCAGAATTTGTTTTTCGCTCTTGTTGAATTTGTGGCCTTGGTAGGTTTTTTTTCCCCTTAACTAGTCAGATTAAGTTTTTAAAATGTGGTTCATAATATACATCAGTCGATGTTTTAACTCAAAGGTTTTCAGCTCTAGGTTCAGTTTAGAAGACTTCACTAATGTTAGCATATTAGGATTAAATTTCAGTGATAAACAAGTATACACCAACATCATTATAGTTGTCATTTGGTAGATTCCCCCCAAGGTCATAAAGAAAGTCAAGGCAAAAGTAGCTCTTATGTGAAGCAGTCTTTTAGGATTGAATTGAACCTCATAATTGTCTTCTAGGACCAAAAGGGAATGGGAAGTGAAGGTGAGGGCATATTGGATGCTTGCTGAACCTATTTGTTTAAAAAAAAATAGGGCCACTATGTGTGTAAAAGAAGGAAAAATAATTGGACTCGCGTAGGCTTTATCTCTGTTTTTGACCTGTTTGGATAGTTTATAAAGCATTAATGTTTTTAATAAATTTTGGCTAACAGCTGAGTGAACATTGTATGTAGATTTTGTCTTCAGGAATTCTCACAAATTGTTTTACCTTCTACATTCACTCAATATCTGCACTGTTTTCATGCTCTTCTCATTACAGGTTGAAAGGATGTGAAAGCTGTAAGTGGTATAGTCCTTAATCTCTGTGGTCTTGTACCTGTATAGAAATTCCAGATAGGATTGTATAGAAAAACTGAATAGGATTGCTGTGTCCTGTACTATTTCATTCTCCATAGTGTCTCTTGGGCATTTCATTTGAGCTAGTAATTTATTCTTTTTCCACTGTTAAGAAATTAAGAAGTGGGGGTGTTTTCTCTCTCCCAAATTTATCTAACTATTCTCATGTTTGTGATTTCTGGTTGAGAGGTTTCTTCACAAGATTATTATAGGACAAAAATCCATACAATTCTGGTTTTAAAAAAATAACTTGGAACTGTTGTTTAGAAAGATGTACTAGGCTCTAAACTTGTTAACTGTAAAATTAATTGCAGATTGAGTGAAATGGTATTAAATTATTTCAGTCATAGGAGACTCTACTTTGGGTTAAAGCAATAAAGAATAAAGTGGTTTGTCAGAATTTGAAGTAACCAGTCTGTAATTTTATTTATAATTTACCAAGTTGTTGTGAAAAGCATAAAGTAGAAAAGACACTTTTAAGTCAGAAGTGTCAAATGTTCTGAGAGGACTTCGTATATGGTGTACTAAGGTAATTATTCTGGGTAGGTTAAAAAGTTACCTGACCATTTTAGGGGCTCCTTTCTGATTCACTTAGTAAAGCATGTGACTCTTGATCTTGGGGTACCAAGTTCTAGCCTCATGTTGGGGGCAGATAGAGACTACTTTAAAAAATTTTAAAAAAAGAAGTTACCTGACCTTTTTTTTTTAATTGTTTTTTTATGTTTTATTTATTTCTGAGAGAGAGAGAGAGCATGAGCAGGGGAGGGTCAGAGAGAGAGAGAGAGGGAGATACAGAATCTGAAACAGGCTCCAGGCTCTAAGCTGGCTGTCAGCAGAGCCTGACGCAGGGCTCCCAGGGCTTGAACCCACAAACCGTGAGATCACGACCTGAGCCGAAGTCAGACGCTCAACCGACTGAGCTACCCAGGCACCCCTACCTAACCAGTTTTAACTGGATTCGCTATGAGGGGTCATTTGCTCTACTTTAAAGATGAGAAGATTTGGGGTGCCTGGGTGGCTCAGTTGGTTGAGCATTCGACTTCTGCTGAGGTCATGATCTCGCGGTCCATGCATTCAAACCCTATGTCAGGCTCTATGCTGACAGCTCAGAGGCTGGAGCCACCTTGGGATTCTGTGTCTCCTCTCTCTGCCCCTCCCTTGCGTGCGCTCTCTCTCTCCCCTCAAAAATAAATAAACATTAAAAATTAAGAAACACTTAAATACATAAAGCGATGAGAAGATTTAACAGATAGGGAACTTATGATAAAACCATAAAATTAAGTTTTAGTTTTCACTTACTTGACATTTGCCATGAGGCACGTATCTAAGCCAGACATATATTCGTTATTGGTTGTATGACTGCATTAATTTTCAGTTCATCTTTTTTTTAATTCTTTCTTTTTCATTTTTGTTTATTTTTGAGAGAGAGAAAGCATGTGAGCTGGAAGGGGTAAAGAGAGAGGGAAACAGAGAATCCCAAGGAGGCTCCAGTCTGTCAGCACAGAGCCTATGTGGGGCTTGAACTCACAAACTGAGATTACCTGAAATCAAAAGTCAGCCACTTAACTGACTGAATACCCCATGTGCCCCTAATTTTCAGTTTAAACTGTCTTAAATTGTAATTGGTTCTACATTACAAATAGGTAGACTAGGTGGTTTTCTGTGTAGTATAATTTGAGAATTGCCAATGCCTAATTTTGTGTCTCTCCTGTGTATTGTGAAATTCTTTTTAAATGTTTATTTATTTTGAGCAAGAGAGCCTATGGGAGCACATGTGGGAGCAGGGAAGGGGCAGAGAGAGGGGAAGAGGGAGAATCCCAAGCAGGCTCTGCACAGTCAGAACAGAGCCCAAAACAGTGCTCAATCTTATGAACCATGAAATTATAACCAGAGCCAAAACCAAGAGTCAGACACTTAACTGATTGAGCCACCCAGGCACTCTGGTGAAATTCTTTTAAAAATGATGTTTAAAATCACAAATTTCTCTGGAATAGAAACTTTAAACTATTGTCCTTTATTGGCAATATTATTCCATATTAGTTTATCAAATAAACTTGCTGATAACACAAACAGGTGAGGATTCAGAGGTGGTGGTAGAATGTAGAAGTAAGCCTTTATGTGCTGACTTATCAGGAGAGGTGTGACATGTAGGAACACACTGTCTAGCATAGAAAGGTATGCTGGGGATCAAGTTGCAGTGAGAAACTTGGGTTTCTTGAGGTCCTTTGGAAATCTTGTGAATCTGACAGTTATAAGGGATGAGACTAAGTGTGGTCCAAAGAATGGGAGAACTGTAAGGACAAATACAGCTTAAAGGTTTGGCCAGTTTCCCCCAGTTAGCATGGTATTTTTAGAAGAGTGAAGGGAAACACTAAAATGCCAGGGAAAAATAGTGGTGTAAAATTTTTACATAGTAAGTCTTTTAACTTTATTATAAGGTCACAATAGGCCAGTTGAGTATATTTTGGATCCCATATTTTATGGTATTCATGAAGTCTCCTGTATTAATTTAATGAGACAATAGGAAAGGAAGTATGTCTAGCAGTACTTTGACTTGAGGTTCTAGCAGTCAGGTTTTCATAACAGCTATAAAAATTTTAGAACAGGAAAGTGTGTTTACTACTTTGATTAAAGAAACTTAAAACTGTGCTATTAGAAGACACTTGAATACTTCAGAAATAATTGAGTCGTAGTTGCTTATATAGTTTAGGAAGAACGTTTTCTTTCTGTGGACTGAATACTTCTATATTAAGAATTTGGGAAATTAGGGACGCCTGGGTGGCTTGGTCGGTTAAGCGTCCGACTTTCGCTTAGGTCATGATCTCGTGGTTTGTGGGTTCGAGCCCCGCGTCGGGCTCTGTGCTGACTGCCAGCTCAGAGCCTGGAGCCTATTTCAGAGTCTGTATCTCCCTCTCTCTCGACTCTCCCCTGCTCACACTGTCTCTCTCTCTCTCCTAGAAATAAATAAAAATATTAAAAAAAAAAAGAAATTGGGAAATTAAAAAGCAGACATGTTGTTAAAAGTAGATAAGAAGGGGAAGACTCTAAGTTTTTATTTATTTATTTTGAGGGAGAGAGATGTGAGAGAGGCAGAGGGAAAGGGAGAGAGAGAAT